TTGCAGAGAACTTCTCAGTTTGAACAGCTTGGGTAAGAAAGATGATGCAGTGACATACCAACACAAAGTTGTTTAGAGAATTCATCCTGCAAAAATAAGCAGTTCCGGAACAATGAGAAGGCTATTTTACAGAGGGAGCTTTGAGGGAGGACAAGAGGCATCCTGGTCTCCTTTACAAAGCTGCGTGGTCTCTTCCAGACCTCTTCTCCTGCTCCTCCTCCTCCTCTACTTTGATCTGTTCTTTCCACACACATCAGCTCTGCATCCCAGCCACAGGTTGGACCAGGAGAGGGAAGCTGGATCCTGAAGTACCATCACATTTAAGTGGCAAGACCTGAAGGCAATTAGAAAGATAATGTTGAATCTGTAGGAATGAATGTAGATCAGTTTTCCCTCTGGTAAGCACTACATTTAACTGATAAAACTTAGTAAATACCCTAAACTGTTTTAGCTCCCTGTGTTTTTCATTCTTCTTTGTGTGTGTGCTTTTAATTTAAGATTTTTTCTATAAAATTAAGATGAGGAAGGTGGAAGCCCAGTGAGTTTCACTTATCATATAATCCACTTATTAAACAAAGCAACATGTGCTGTTAAAACACGTGTGTGTGCTGTTCTCATAATATGTTTATGCTACAGTGTCTTTGCTGCTCTCATGAAGGAAAGGTTAGATGGAGTCTGAGAAAATGGGCCCCTGGGCACAGACAGGTAAAAGGCCCCTCACCCTTTCTATACAGGACCATCAGTCATGTAGCGTGCCTTTACAATTACTCATATCTCTTTCTGATAGTTTTGCATCTCTGGTAGTACCGTCTATCTTTGTGTCTCTTTATGGTCATTTTTGTCTGTGTTGTAGTTTGGGCTGTCTTTGGGATTTGGTGGTAATGTTGTAATTCTGTGCAGTGATTTTGAGTCTGTCTGGTTGTTTTGCATCTGTTTATAGTCTTTTGACTGAGTTTTATAAAATCCAAACAAGAAACGTTACCCCTCCAGGTCTCTTGAACCCCTGAGCCTGGTAGGCCTGTTTGGTAATACAATCTATGAGACTGTGTGTTGTATAATGATTTTTCCAATCTTAAAGGAGAAATAAAAGATGAAGTAAAGTTAGTGGGTTTAAATGTGTTGTAATGGGAAGACGAACTTGCGGAAAGTGATTATCATTACTTGTGGTGATGGTGGTATGAGGAACAATCAAAAGAGAGTTTATAACTTTTGTTGAACACTGCTATGGACAGTTGGTGGCGTTCATAGGATGTGGCACTTTGGCTTTTCACTACATTTCCCAAGATTCCCTGTCAGTTGCTTTAAAGATGCTGTCATTTAGTGACTTAACAGAGTGAGTGGAGTGGGATCACAAGGAGGAAAAAGTCAAAGAAGTGACACAGTAACAGCAGTTAAACACCAACATTAGCCATCATTCCAGGCCAGTTTAGGCTTTAACAGCAAAAACCCTGAGTGTATTCAAATTTCTTTTGTAAGAGAAAGGCTGTGATATTTCTTTTTAAGTCTCACTTTAAGTGCCCTGAAACACTTTCTCAATCAGCAGATTATCTTAGCTGGGTTTCTGAGTGTTAAACTCCTAATAAATAAATAAAAGCAATGTTTCTCTCCCTAGTGTAACCTTGACTGTAGCTTATTTAGTCAGTAACACTTTATCCACATCATGTGAAAACAGGTTTTTGGGAACAATAAAGGGGAAAGAAATTAGCAGACTGTTATTATTAGAGAGGAAAAGTAGCTTCATTACACTGAAGTGACGTCCTTACCTGTGTGTGTGTTTGGGTGACCGTTACCAGACACTATATGGTGTTATTACCGCTCTCTGTGGGGAAAACAAAGAGCTGTTAGATTGGGAGAGGATACAGTATTATGTTGGTAACCAGCAGATGGCGGTGTTACACAACACTACCAAAATAAAGAAACTACAGCTGCAGAGTTAAACACCCCTGGGATTTTTTTTAAACCTGCACAGGTGTCACTATGCATCCTCCTGAGTGACAATATAGGACGAATGTTCAACATGTTAAACATCATCTCCTGTTTGACGAACCCTCCATTTTCACTTCCAGGCCTGTGTTTAACATACACTTCCTTGCGTTCTCCTCTTCTTTAACTCATTATCTCCCTCTCTCTCCTCCCTCTCTGCTCTCTTGGTTGATGATGGCTTCTTCCTCCCAGTCGCTTTGCTTATACAAGCTAACAGCCACTGATAGGGTGGCTGTGATTCATTTAGACAAGCTGGCAGCAAGCTGTGTAAACAGCCATTAGTAATTCATGACTCTGTCCAGCATCCCTAGGCTTCAATTAACCCTATTGGTGCGTTCTTCCCCGCTGTCACCCATCTTTTTCTCGCTGCATCTCCTCCCTACTTCATCTGTATTCTCCTCCCTGTGCAGATGTAAACTTGCCCAATGAAAAGAAATAGCTCATTGGCAACAGAAGGTGGTGTATAACACCCATTTAATGTATGCACAGTAAGAACTTGTGTATGGGAAACCTGTTTAATTTCCGGTTGATGGTGGAATGTACGGTGTGGCTGTGACATGCACTGTCTCATTATTTTACTAAGCTTTAATAGAAAAGCCAATTGAGCACAACTGGAGTCATAAATTTACAGTCTTCAGGCTGGAGATCCACAAAAGCAAAAGCACTGACTTGATGTGTTGCTTAACCGGCACTGTCTCCTAGAAGTTTTCCCATTAAGTTGTGGTGACTTATCAGATTTATAATGCGCTCCCTAAACAAGAAGAGGAATAAAATCTTCTAACACAGCAGAGTAGACATTAAGGCCAGTGTTCAAACTGACTTGTAAATAAGTTAAATGGCATTTGCTTGCGTACCAAACTGTGGTTCTTAGAGAACATCTAGAAATACAAATAAAAAAATAAAAAAAAGGTTTGGAAAAGAAAAGCATGATTTAACAATTGCTCTTTTGTTGTTTCTGTAGTGAAATAGCTAGACATCTGGTGAAGAAACAAAGGACTTGACCGTCTTTTCTTGGGATTTGAGCTTCATGAGACTAGCACATAAATGAGTTTTTTCTTTTTGGCTTGTGACTCTTTAAAGTGAAGCAGTGTTTATCTGTTTTCTCATTTATGAGCAGTGAGCAGTCAGGACTGGTTCACTCAAACAGCTTTTAGATGGCTAAAGCGGTCAACTGTGGTATTTTATAACAATGAAAGAAAAGTCTGAAAAATATAGTTTGTGTAGCAGTAATTTGACTTTGTTCACAAGGGAAATACAAGTGGCGCTTTAAGATTTGCTTAATTTGAACCAACCAGCCCCAAATTAAAAGCTGCCAAAACAATGTGGGCAGGTTCTCACTATCTCCCAGCAGCTCTTCAGACATGAGACTGTCCTGGCGGTTTCCCAGGACGAAAGCCAGGAAGGAGAGGATAAGAGCATCCATGATGCCCATGATAGCCAGGATGTAGGCCCAGCGCACGGAGCAGGCGCCCAGTGTGTATTTGTCTGTCTGCTCGCCGCACATCCGCTTCACCTCGTCGCTGTCCCAGCCGTCTGGGTAGATCATGCAACCCAGGATCAGACATGTGCCTGGATTAGGAGCAAGAAAAGATGGATCAGGGGTCATAGGAGGATAACTGGCCACCAAGGGAGGACGTGGCTGAATGTGTGACACTGTAAACCTAAAAACACATTGACATGAAAACATGAAGTGTAAAGTAAGGCAAGTGATTTGCTACAGAGGTTAATAGATTTTGAGGGATTGGATCTGGAATTGAACACAATTGGAGACACTGAACAACATTATCATGAATCGGACGATGACTTTGACCCTGAAAAAAACTTTTTTAAGAACTCTGAAAATAACTGCAAGTATTACACGGATGAGCAGTTTAACAGCAATGTTAAGACTGAGAACAAATTATCATTAATTCACTTTAATAGCAGAAGTTTATAC